AAAGAAAGATCATGTAGAGCTGGGAGATGTCTCATTTTTATGAGAATTTCGCGGACTACAATCATGTCTCATTAACAAAGGTTTTGGTTATTCTGTTAGAGTTTCTGAAAAACTGGTTTTCCAGAAAACCGGGTCTTAAAGAGTCGTCAGCCGATATCATTTTAGGCTTTTTATCTACTCGAGACCCCCTATCGAATGATGCATGGACGAACGAAATCGGAGCGGGGCACCTGGGGCGGTTCCCTCATAAGATCTTACTAAGATTATACTGTCTAAGATTTTTTCAAGATTGGTTAAAAAGCTGTTGAGATCTTAATAGTAAGATCAATGACGTTTTTTTATAACATTCATTTTGATCGATTTTTGAATATCTAGTTTAGTTTTCTTACACCCTTATCTTTCGGTGTAGGGTGAAGATCAAAAAAGTACGAGAATATGTAACCTACACTGTTCAAAATAGCACTTGAACAGATTTGAAGAATCAAGAGAAATTTCATATTTTCGGATGTTCGACTATAGATCTTGACTTACACTGTACCCTCTCTTAAAAGCTGCTGAACACTTTCGAGAGAGCGAATAGTAGCAGAGTCTGAAAGAAGAATAACACTGTACTATAAAATTCAGTTATTTTCGGTGTGACTTATATAGTTGCATGAGCGTAAAACAAAAGGATAAATGAAAGCAGAGTCATAAAATCTTATTACGATCTTATGTTATCAAGATGTTAGTAAGATAATTTTAGGAAGTGTCTAAGATTGTTACTAGGGAATCAGTTTGTTATTTTCAGAGGGCTATGTTGCTGATGAAATCATAACAACACGAGCTGGAGCAAGAATTCGTGTTGGAAATACGGATGCGGAAGGTAAAGTACTTTTAGTTTTTATAAGTATCTCTTTACTGAACCAGTCTTTTATTTTCTAAGGTCGAATGGTCATGGCAGATACGTTATGTTATATCAAAGAACTGGTGTGTATCTTACACTATTCGTTATTTACTAAGTATCTTTGATTATCTATTTTTCTCCAGGCATTGAAAGAAATAAATCCTTATCTTTTTACAATAGCAACATTAACTGGCCATATTATTCGATGTTATGGCACAAATTATACCGTATTTATTGGTTCTTTTTCTTTTATCCTCCTAAGTGGTAATATTGCCAATTTTTAGGCTATCGTTGATAACGGTCCTGCTAAACGCGATAATATAAGCAAACGATTTCAAGAGGCTGGTGATTTGATTGGTGATCCATTTGAAATATCAACAGTCAGAAAAGAAGTAAGTACATTAACAATTGTGACAAGCTCAACGGGCCAGTAATCTGGATGTTCTCGTTTGACAGGATTTCGATTTTATCAAAGATAAAGGCGAAGTAGCAGATATTTTGCAATGCAATAATTCAGCAAGTAGTGCTACATCACGTGGACATCAATTTCCGGTAGCATTTCTTATTCAAGTATCCGGTTTAGATAAAGTACGTTTTCTCTCCTTCTATTTCACGTAGTATATCACCAGCTATACCTTTTTATCTTTTTTTAGCATGGCTCTGATTCTGATCAACCGTTACGTTATTCTCACTTGGATATCGCGGGAAGTGCAGGTGATTTACCAAATAATCCAACTGGTCGACCCATTCCAAGTCTATGTGAAATGTTTATTAGCAATAAAATATAAATACATGCATTACACAAACATTCCGTGTTCTCATTCTCTATTCTTTTTTCTCGTTTTATGTTATTTAATCTTTCATCTTTTAATTTTTTGATAAGAATGTTCTCATTATTTTAATTTAAACTAGATTAATAAAACTCATTTGATAGCCTCAATGGCACTAGCTAAGGCTAATGTTTATGTGATCTAATTCAGGGAATTTGTGAAGTAAACAAGTTACAAGAAAGGTGCAAGGTGTCTATATTGATTGTCGATATAGCGTGTAGGCATAAGTATTTTTCATCCATCATGTTTTTGTACCTAATATATTAAATTTTAAATCCTTTTAATGCGAACAATATGAATATATCTACTAATAATACGAGATAAGGCATTAATATCAATAGAATATCACCTCGTGTTGTTTGCCGTTGATTAAGTGATAGTTGATGAGCCAGGAGTCTCGATTGACGAAAAGTATCAAACGTAGTTAACTTGTCAAATTCATTCTTAACTGTTGAAATTGTTGCTTCTTCCATAGAAACTACTTAAACAAAGAATATTTAGAATGTTTTTATATTATATAAATGTATATATTGTTTTAATGTGAAAATCAGTTCAAAATATTATTATCTCTTATACTATCTATTCTTTTTTGTTCTCAACGTTTCAATTGTTGTAACAAAATCATACGTAACAAAAAGAAAAGAAAAAAAAACAGATTATTGAATGAAAAGAACATTTTTAGAACTATATAGTTTTGAGACGCTGTGATTTAAAAAAATACCTTGGATCTATCGTGGATCGATGTTTTGAATAGAAAATAGAATTGATTCTATCCATATTGGCAAAAAAAAATAAATACTAAAACATTTTACCTGTGTTGTGAGCGAGTACAGTTTTACCAGACATTTATATTCCCCATCATAAACTAAAAAGCAGAGCATGCTCTGCTTTTTACTTAATGTTTTAGTCTATAAGAGAATTAACATTAAGCTTTGTTTAGCTTAGTCATTTTGTTCCATATGTATTTATCAATATAAAATCTATTCAATGGGATTTTTTATTTTCCAAACACTCAATGAACGTAAAAAACATGCCTTTATGCACACGGATTCTTATGATAGTAAATTTACAGAAGAATAATGTTATTTTTGTCGTTACTGATCTAATTTTATTTACTTCTCCTTATAATCAATTTATTAAAAATTTTTTTTAAATAAATTAATTATAAGTAAATAAAATTAACCGTTTTATCGTAACCTTTCTCTCCAAAATGGAAGAATAGTATAATCAAACGATTAAAATCGATCGATATTTGTGTTAGTTATTACATTTGTAATGGTACATATACACGTAGGTCTCTCAGCATAAGAACAGAAAACATCATCACAATTATCATAATCGAGTGCAATATCTCAGATTAGGAAATACAACCATCAGATCTTGTCGGAAACTGGTGAACTCGACTGAGAAGTTATCGGATATGGCCAGATTACCGATTAAAGCTTGACGGATCCAGTCAGTGAAGCGACGGAATCCGATTTCTTCCGAAGCCAGTCGGATCGATATGAAACGGCATCGGGTTGGATTCAACCACTTCTATGTAGCCGGAAGTTAAGAGATAATCCTAGATTCCGATAGCCGTATCAAGTCCAAATTCGAAAACGAAATGTAGGAAATATGCTGGATTCTGATGAACAGTCGTTTTTCATCCGGAAAGGTTTGCGTTTAAAATCAACCGGTGAAAGTAGTGCTAAAATCGACACTGAAGAAACACATTATTTCTTAGAAGTTATCGCACAAATATCTTAACTTTCTACGGCAAAGTCAAATAGGATTAAGATACGTCTTTTTTCAACGCTAATATTCTACAAATTTACATATTTTAAATAAAAGTTGCTTTGGCATATAGCGGGAAAAGCAGTAGCTTCTACTCATATGTTTTTGGGATTGAAAACCTGTTCCCAAAACCTAAACAGCCTGTCCGTAGAGTAGAATCAATACTGATTTTTGAAGTAGACAATTTATGCTTCTCACTAATGTATATAACCTAAATATTCAGAACATATTTGCATTTTTTGGAGAAGTCCTCTTTAAGAAGGTTGGTACGATTGTTTAATGGCACTGTAAAGCCAATGAAGTTTAGTCTATAACTCTATAGATCATCAGTGGGAAAGACAATAATAGGAAAAATAAAAGTGAGAGTTCGACTTTGTCCGTATCTGTTGAAACAGATTTGAAACTATTAAAAGTAGTCAGAAGTAGCAAGTAGTAATTCAACTACAGATCGGTTTATAAAACAAGAGAAGGAATTACAGACAGATGTTTACAAGCAAAGGATTCGAGAATATTAGTGAAAAGTTTGGATGTTGAAGTAGACGTTTTGAGCGATAATTTTAGGTACTTGTTGATGACACTGTCTTATTGAGGTCATTTTTCCCTTATTGCCGCATTCATAGGAGATTTGAGACCGATTTTTGTTAACTATTTAGGGAATGTAGTTATTTTTGATAAGATCATATGATATTAAGAACTTTCATTGTGAGTCAAAGAAGTCAACTCTACGGTATTTGCTTTGTTCCTAGATGTCAACAAAGATTACTCGCAAACGTTTGCAAACAAAAAATCGTAAATATAAATATGCAAACTATCAACAAGCTCGTACAGAAATACTCAACTTGGAGACTGAAGGGTACGTTTATCTGATCGATTTTTTTCTGACTTTTGAATTTTTATCGTTCACTTTTTTTTCTAGGTATATCGTACCAGAAAATGATGATGAAGAAGAACGCACAGTTGATATAACCCAAACAGATATTCAAAATTCTGTTGATATTTCTAGTTCACAAAAATATTTTGATTTAAATCTAGATAAATTTGGACCATACAGAATTAATTACACAAAAAATGGACGGTAAGAGTTAAGTGAGTACTTTTCTCAAGAGTTCAAGAATATGTGGCACACGAAGAGTGTTTCAAAATTCAGAATCTTTTTTTTCTATCCTAGAAAACATGATAAGCTTAAATTCTTTCTTAAACTTCGACATTTTCCTATATAAAGTTGCCAACCACATACATTAAATTTAAAAAATTTTCTTATAGAATAACTATCAGTTTTCAAGCACTTTGTATTTACTTTTTTAAACTGTAATATTTATGTTGTTTTCTTAGTCATTTACTGATGGGTGGTCACCGTGGTCATATAGCCGCATTTGATTGGCAAACTAAAAGACTGCACTGTGAAATTAATGTCATGGAACAAGTGAATGATGTGAAGTAATTAGTTAAAATTTTATTCTCTAATTCAGTTCTGGCACAGATTTTCATTTTGCCATCAGCTGATATTTTCAAATTTTAGTTAATATTTGCATTCGTTCATCGCATCTTCCTTCTTGTCTAGATGGTTACACATTGAAACAATGTTTGCATGTGCCCAAAAGCAGTGGGTGTACATTTATGATAATCAAGGCGTTGAATTACATTGTTTAAAAACCATGGATCGAACAGAACGCTTAGAATTTTTACCATATCATTTTCTTTTGGTATCAATAGTAAGTACTTTTAGTTTATTAAACGAATATTTTCCGGCGTATATCTCTCTAGTTATGATTTGTGTAACGTGTATTCTGATTTTGTTTAGAATTCTTCTGGTTATCTATCCTACATCGACGTCTCTATTGGAAAGAAAGTTATCTCCTATCCGACAAAAATACCTGCCACACGTCCTCAAGTTATGTGTCAAAATAAATCAAATGCAATAATAACATTGGGACATTCCGGTGGAATCGTAACAATGTGGTCACCAAATCAGAAAGAACCTTTAGTGAAAATGTTAGCCCATAAATCAACGATAAGAAGTATAACTATAGACCAAACAGGAAAGTAGGTGACAAAAATATCCAGTAAGTAGAATTTATACTAGAATCGATCTATTTTCTAGTTACATGGCCACCTCAAGCGTTGATGCTCGATTAAAAATCTGGGATATTCGTAATACGTATAAAGAATTAAATGATTATCGAGTCAAAACGGGTGCACATAGTTTAGCGTTTAGTCAAAAGAACTTATTAGCTGCAAGTTACAGAGATGTCGTCGAGGTATGTATCAAAACAAAACATCGTTGTTTTTAAGATTCACAACACGACATTGCTTGATATTACTGTACAAAAATACCCCTGACAGAACTAATCTTACTAAAACAAAAACATTTTCGCATCGAATCGTCTACATGACACTTATACAAGTGGCTGTCTTACACTATAAATACTATCTAGCGCGTAAAATCAAGTTTTATTTTATATCCTCGAATTTTTGTTTAGATTTATAAGGATTTCACCAACGCTGAGACCAGTAGTATGGACAGTGATGACGCACCGAAATCTCCTGCTGCTTACTTGATGCATCGTTGTCGTGGTCAGATCACACATCTCGAGTATTGTCCATTTGAAGATGTGTTAGGAATTGGATATGATCAAGGTTTCAATAGCATCATTGTGCCAGGTATATAAGAGCCTAAAAATATTTCTCACAGTCCCTTGTTCTCTATTTAAAACTTTATTCATTTAAAAAGAATTTTGTTTTTTTAGGCAGTGGTGAAGCGAATTTTGATTCGTTAGAAGCGAATCCATATCAGACTAAAAAGCAACGTCGACATTATGAAGTCAAAGCATTATTGGATAAAGTAGATCTTACACTAAGTAGTATCTCATTCAACAGATTAACTCGTTTTTCTTGTCATATAGATTCAACCGGATTTAATTTCATTAGATAATGATGTATTGGCTGAAATCGATCAAAAAACATTAAAAGAAAAAATGGATGAAAAAAATAAATTATTAGTAGGTTTTTCGACTTGTTTCTAAGAGAAAGGGTAAATTATGTTGGAGTAAGATGTACATTTAAAAACAATCTACAATATTAGAACAAGTATCTGTCTTGTCATTATATGAAGGAATGTACATATTAAAAATTGTTGATCTTCAGCTCCATTTTATCATAGAAAAGTTCAAAAACTTTACTGTTTCATTAAATCACGATGTCACAGTGAAGTTCGATTGCTTTAATCCGTTGCATCATGCAGTATATAAAAGAGTTTACCTGAACGCATGATGAAAATGTTAGCTCACCTCGAAATATGTCCTAAAACGTATACGATGTCAATATAGACGTTTGTTTTACTAGAGAATATATTTTTGTTTTAGTTCATTAAGCCGAAAAAAATTGAATTGAAACCGAAAAAAGGCAAAATTAGCGTTCAGAATCGACGAAAAACACAAATGAGAGATGCAAATATCAAAGTAAGATAAATTATTATTTGGATAATTTTTCTAAAAACAAATGTCTTAACTAGGATCATATTCGACAAAAGCAAGGAATTAAAACAATAAAACATCAAGAAATTGGTGAAGAAGAAGAAGAGGAATCATAGTTATTACAATTTCTTGTTGTTATTTTCTCCTGATTTTTATTGTTATTGTTATTTTTATATAATAACCAAAGTGGAACAATTTATTGCTCTCATTGTTTTTTCTTAATATTTTGATAACTTTTATGGTCAATCACTGAATTGTGTTTTTTATTTCATAAATGTACGTTTTAGATCAAAATAATAATGGATTTTGATTGGGATTGGTTATTAATATTGGGTGAGTTTGGATTAACATTTGGATTTTACAGATGGTGGAAATCAAAAGAAATATTTGTTGATGTGCTTGAAGTAAGTTGAAATGATGGTGAACGCTCATTAGAATAGCTCAAAAAACGCTTATAAAATATAAATGAATGAAAAATTAGGGAAATATTTTGCTCTATTCAAAAGTAAATGAGAAACTGTTTTTCGACACAGAGTATTCTCTTCGCTGTGCTCAGTTTAAACTGACAGACTTAGGAAACAAGCAATGCAATTAATTCTTATTTATCTGGTATACATTTGATTTATGTGTGCTTTAGGCTGCTCCAGATTTGGATATCGAAAATTTCAAGAAATGGCAAAGTCCAATTGAGTTTGCTTCGGTACATGGTATAATTCGAAATGATGTACAAGAGTGTTTAACATCACAATACACTCCGCATACAAAAGGAGTTATCAAACAAATAACGATCAGAGAATTCAAATCGGAAAAATTCAAAAATATTTGGTAAGAAAATAGAGTTTTCCTTGTTTTTGTTCCAGTAATTAATGTTCAACAGAGAAAAATTTTATTCTTTTCAGGACTCAAACAAAAAATGTTTTATCCGATGTAGTTCGTCAAGTTCCTATGCGTTTAACATCTCCAAGTGGCAAATATGTTCGTATTGAACAACCATTGGCATTCGACTCAATCACAGACGAACTAGAAGTGACACACTGTAAATTTGAACCATATGCAACAAGTGGAATACAAGCAATTATACAAGGATTATTTGGCCAAGTATCAACCGGTAAGATGTACACACTAAGTTGCAAAAATTGTCTGTGTCTAAAAGCTGTGTTTAGAACTAACAACAGTTATTTTCTCTATCATCAAATCATTTATTTTAGGTATTGAGACAAAAGAGAGTATGCTACTGTTGGATAGACCGCTGACAGGTGTTGGACGATTGGAAAAACGTGGCCAACACTGGAATTTATTATTAAATGACAAATATGGTGGCATTTTAACACGTTTATCTAAAAAAGAAATTATTGATCAACATCGATCATCATCCAAAGTCATCAAATTCTTTACATATGTATTTGGGCTTTGTACAGTGTTCACAATCACATATTTAACTTATAAACGTTACAAACGTTATAGACGAAGGTGAGTCACTACTAAAAACAGATTCTAATTCTTTTAAAGTGAACATCTTCGCTAGAAATTCAAAATTGTTTCATTTCTTGCTAAACTTACTCACACATTTGCAACGAGTATTAGAAGAAATTTTTGTGCATTGCAGACGATATATTGATGTATATTTTTCTTCCATCAAGTCTCAATCACATTTGATTTTAACGTATGTATTGGTTGCAATTCAGTTATTTTTTTTATTCAAATATTATCGCTAGATTTACAGAGCTTTTCCTACGCAGAAATATAAAAAAGATTCAAGACTTTCACAGAAACCTTCAGTCTTGCACCTTTTTTATATTTCTGCGTAGGAAAAGCTCTGTAAATCTAGCGATAATATTTGAATAAAAAAATAACTGAATTGCAACCAATACATTGAACTCGAGTCATACACATGTTGAATGTCTATCAGACATTTGCAAAGAAAGAAAAAAAGATATCTTTATTGGATATGGCACTATTATACTGCTAACATTAAATTATCTGAGTTTTACTCGCCACGGTTAGCATTTAAAAAGTTTGAATATTCTAGTTTTTACACTTCAAACTTCGATTTTAACACGTCTTACTGTATGCAAGAATAGTTTGTGTTTCTCCAGATAAATGGTGCCATAAGGACATCCATCAAAGACTGTACCATTCTTCTAAACTTTTAGCAAGCCTTTGTTCCCTTGATTGCAAACTAAGGCTCATAAAACAAAAAAACTTACAGTCAATAAATTAAGAAAGTTCTAGCGGGTGTTACTTTTGAGATAATTTGAACTTTTTTAGCAGAGATTATTGATATCAAAGTTTCGAAATCAAAATAGTGTAACTAAATCACTTAATTTCATTTGATTTAGGTCTCGTTTATCCGAAACTGCTCCGTTACAAAATGGAACTCGAACAATTTTGCCGTCCAATTTACCTGAGTATGATGTACCGATAAGCGATGATAATGATTCTCGATATAAATGTATCGTATGTTTGACGAATGAAATTGTTTATATTATGCAGCCCTGTTCACATTTGGGACTTTGTTTGTCCTGTGCAAGACATTTACAAGAACAAGGACAAGATCAGTGTCCAATATGTCGACAAGACATTCAAAATTATCATAGAGTTTATATGGCTTAGAAATAAGTGTTAACTTTGTTTTTTAATTTGTGTTATGTTTATTCAAATATGTAATATGTGTGTTTTTCTAATTAGTTTTTTTAACAAAATATATACTGATGCATGAAAAGTTAGTTTCTATTTTTTTTGGATATAAATACACACTCAGATTCGAACTCTGACAAACTATGTATCATTAGTATAACCGAAACAGGGTTCAGCTATTAGTATAGATGAATAAAACTAAAATAAATTGTATTTTTTAATTTAAGTATATTCGTCGATAATGTTAGATGAGTATGATGGATTAGTTCTAAATGATTTACTCTCATCCGATGATGAAAAAGACGAAGAAGAAACAAAGAAACCAATTCAGAAATGTACAAAACGGAAAGATGAATTATTTTTAAAACGTTTGTCTTTGTGTCGTGAGAAACGTGTTGAATATGCAAAAATTGGAACAAATAAGCGAATTAAACATTTACAAAAAGAAGTTAATAAACAAGTGCGGCATCAGTTTCAACTGCCACATTCCATGACACCTTTAGATGAACAAATATTACAAACACTATCACCATCGTCTCCTTCCGTGTAAGTATCAATAGAATGACTTTCAGCACTAATAATTATGTTCAGCTTGAAAAATCCAAGGTTTATACTAGACGATGTATAATTTTGGATACCATCTTATGTGACATCACTACTGATACTTCTAATACTAAATAAGACATTTTCGACACTTTTGAATAATTAGTGTACTTTGTATAGTTGTAGTTTTAATATGGTTATTTCAGGCCACTTTCGTCTTCTGAACGTCTGAAAGAGAAAGAAAAGAAGAATTTTGATAGTGCTGAAGAACTAAACGCCTATGTTGCTCAATACGACCATTTAGACCTAGATGAACGTCTGATCGATGAACAAAATTTAGAATTAAAACAGTTAGAACAAAAATTAGATGATAATATTGAAAAAGGCCAAATACAACAAGCAGAAAGGATCAGTGACGAACTATTAAGATGCAAAGCAAGAACACGAGTAAAATTAGGTTTGAGAACAAAACATTTGAATGATTTATTGAAAGATCGATATCGTAAACAAAAAGAGAAAGAGAAACGAAAAAAAGAAAAATTAGCTCGAAGCGGCATTAGACCAAAACAAAGATGGGAAACCAAAGCAAATATGTAATGATAATTATATGTTTTCTACATTTTTATTGTAAAATTGTTTTATATGAACTAATTTGATGTATTTTTTGTACATTTTTTGGGTTAATTTAGCTCCGTTTTGTTAGCGATGGGCTAGAGTATATACATGTAAAACCATTCTTTCTAAGCATCACCCATCAGGTGATTGTATTGCATGTGGATTAATATATAAATATGTTCTGTTTAGAACATAATGGACTATTAAACTATTATGAAAGCTAACCGATTTAATAAGTAAATTTAAATAAAAAATGTTATGAACATGAAAAGAGAGTTTAAATGGAAATTACTGACCTATTTCAATGTGCTAATTCATGCTATGAATTATTTTTATGGATTTTTGAAAATGGAAAAGTTGACGGGAACAACTTGATATTCAGTGGATAGATATTCATCATAGTTTCTCTCCTTAATAAAATATGATACTACTACATTTCAATATAAAATATGAACAGATGTTTTCTAAATAACTTCTGAACGAAAAAAATAGCGATTTGCGATCTTCATAGCTATTTTGCCAAGGATAGAGAAAAGTTTTGAAGATCAATGGATTGCACTTATCAACCATGTTAAAGTACAGTCGTTAGTATTTAAGGGGGGGGAGGGGTAACTAAAATTGAACCAACGGTGTCTGAGAAAATTAACATTTTTCATTATAGTGCAGTTTGAGTCGGTTCATTATAGTGCAGTTGCAGTTTGAAGAAAAATTTTCGCTGGCAAAGTTGTTCAGGATAATGCTCTTCATACCCTAAGCGGAGCACTTTTTTCATTTTAGTGGAAAAATTTTGAAATAAATTACAAATAAAAAATCTTTAGCTTTAAATTTACTTAAAATTTGTGTATATGTTACAGGGAATGTAGGAAATCAGGGAATGTATACATTCCCTGACATGCGCAGGGAATGTGTACATTCCCTAGGGAATATTCACATTCCCTGACAGCGTTCAGCGAATTTGAGTATATGACATCGGAATTTCTCTTGGAATATAATAAATTCATGA